CTTGCTGTACAATATTCAGGACATGAAATGCTAAAACTTGAGATGGAAAGTAGTCCCACCAGTAATTCTCTTTAATTCAAATGTCACAGTATTAATTATCTAATTCTAAATGTTGTAAGCAAGTCAACAAGTGAATATAGTTGTTTGATATTCAAATCCAACTGCAAATAAGCTAAAATACAGCTGCTCACTATTGTGACTCTGCTCTACGAGCGCGGGTCGCACAAATGCATGTCCCTGAAAATGGGGACATATCCAAGGCAGGCAAACATGGGAGAAAGATTAAGAGACGATAAACCTAAAAGCACAGGGAAAAATAAAGATCAAATAGAAGCCCTTAATCTTACTAGAAGAAGAGCAAGGCATTTAGTAAAATGAAAAGACAACAGATTTAAATTGGAAATGCATTTTTCCAGGCCAGCTTGTGCTGGTGACCGCTTAAATCACTGGTATATATATAAAAAAAGAACATATTTTTATACCTCTTTACGTCATACTTAAAAAGTCCAGCATGATGTCCGTGATAAACTGAGTAGAAAGTTGATATTTGGGGAAAAAATGGGACCTCCACAGTGGGGTTGGGAAAGGCGGCGGGGCAGAGCATGGGCAGGGACATCCCCACGGGCACGGCGGGACCCTGCCGGCCGCCTCAGCACCCCGATGTTAATAGAGAAGGGCCCTGCGATGTACAGAAATTAATAACACAACGCGGCAGCTGGATTAACGCGGTGCTCGCGTCAGGGAAAGGGCGGCTTCGGCCGGGACCTCCACAGTGGGGTTGGGAAAGGCGGCGGGGCAGAGCATGGGCAGGGACATCCCCACGGGCACGGCGGGACCCTGCCGGCCGCCTCAGCACCCCGATGTTAATAGAGAAGGGCCCTGCGATGTACAGAAATTAATAACACAACGCGGCAGCTGGATTAACGCGGTGCTCGCGTCAGGGAAAGGGCGGCTTCGGCCATGTTTCTGCTGGGCGAGGCTGCTCCGGTCGCCTCAGTGACCCGGAGGTGACAGCAAACACGCGGGGCCAACGGTCGCGCGGTGCCACACGCACAGTCCCGCGCCGAGTGGCACCTCGCCTGTCGCCCCCTGTGCCCGATGCGGTGTC